TCTTTCCCTCAGGGTCCAGTATACTTGACCCTTTTGCTTGAGAAAACACAACTGGAACAGGATGGTAACTGGATTTCGACACACAAAAGACAGCCTAAAAGTTTAGGAGGACATCCATAATTTATGTAAAAGAAAAAGATGTTAAAATTTCCGACATGCTCCATAACAGTCATGAAGACAAAAATTTGAAAAAAGATTTCATTCGGCAACATCCCGGTGTGTATCATTCCAGATCTCAAACCAACAACAAAAAAAGCTCTGAACTTTCGTGTTTTAACATGAAATCTGATTATCCCAATGCATCAGACGAAAAATTTCAAGACCTACATGATGATTCAGACATACAACTAAGATTCACTTGGTTGTTTCTATTTTACAGGATTCGGGACAAAACTCCAGGAATCTCACTCGGCTGACATATCAACCACAATACCAGTAAGAAACCTCGATAAGAACCATTTGATTAAAAGACCATTGCCATTTTCATGTTTTGTTGAATGCTTTAAACTCATTATGTATGACTAGAGATTTATCAAATGATGATCTAACACACGTGTTCGTTCATACATAAAAATCTACAAAACGCTCACAGAAAGTTCTAAAAATTTTGCAACGGTCTGTACAAAATTTCACGATTACGATACTAGAACCCTCACTTAAACATCAGAAGAAATTCCACACTTTCGATCAAAACAAGAAGACCCATACGACTAAACACGAAACAGAATCAAAAGGAAACAAAAAAACCTAACATGAAGAAACATCGTGAAACGAGCAAACTCCGATATACGAAATTCAAATTATCAACGAAGAATACACGGAGAAGAAGGCTTTACTTGTGGGCGCTGAATTCGTGTTCCAAGTCCATCAAACGCTGAGAAGAAGACGAAGGCGGTTTGGAGTTTGCCTCCGGCAAAGCACCATAGCTCCGCCGCGCTCCGACCGTCCAAGCCCGGTGAGCTAGACATCGAAGCAATCGATTTCTTGTCGCCGCCATTAGAATCTTGGGAGCTTGGTCCGAAGGGTTCTGCTCTCGCACTTTTTTGGCTGTTCGCTCCTCGAGAAAATGACTCGGAAAAAATAGAAATAAAAATCTCAGAAGAAAATCTCTAAACGGAACAGAAAACCAACAAAGATCACATCACACACGCACCTACGACAGGAATTAATCTTTTTCCACTTTTACCCTCATGGAAATCATCTAAAAATATCTTTTCTACCTTTACTCTTAATAACAATAATATATAATTTTATTATAATCTCTGTCAATATATAATTAATATATAAATTGTTAAAGATAACCTACGTTATCTCTTCTCTTAAGTTTGTGTTCTTATCCACCAATTACGTACATTCTCACAAGTGAAGAATACGGAGCACTTTTTTTTTTCCGGTTCCCGAAGAGATCGATGGCGCTCTGGAGGACGTTGGTAAATAGAGAGGTTTTTTAGGCAATTAAATATTTATATTACAAGACAGTAACTTTGTTCTAATTAAGCATTTAACCCCCACGCTCTCTAAAACTACAATTAGATCCATTTTCCTTGTGATTGGAAATTTGGGAAAGCTTTTCTGATTTTGGTGAAATTTTATCCGAATTACCGGCAATTATCACACGATTACGAAAGCTTCTGGGGGAAAAAGAGAGAGAAAACTGAATAGGGGGAGAAAATAAGATTTTAAAAGATACGGAACCAATGCGGCAAATTTAAGTTTTATGCCTTAATATTCTTCTCACTTTAGCGGCTGTCCCAAACAGGAAACCCTCTTGATGACGTAGAAGCTTCTCTGTCTACTTGTTGGATCGTTTTTCTCCGTTGCCCTGGTTGGAGACCACCGCTGCTCGCTTGGTTCTGCTACCTTCTCTCTCCCTTATCGGAATCGAAGCTTGAAAACCCTAGGTTTGATCTCTGGTCTGAGCCCTTTTCTATGCTTATTGAGCGCCCTAGAACTTATGAATCTAATTCGTTTCCGATTTTCTGGTAAATCTAGGTTTTTTTTTTCCTTTCTATTGGCATCGTTTGATTCGAAGTGCTTAACCCAGGAGTTTTTCTGGAAAAAAGAAGATTTTGCTCCACGCAAGTTTACAGATTCCGAAATTAGCGATCTTTGTTGATGCCTCCTCTGGTCTCTGTTTTGGCTTGAAATTCATGTTTGGTAACAACAGTGTAGAATATTTTAGTGAACATAGCTGTTGATAAGGTCGGCCCTTTTTTTTGACAATGGTGTCTACTGGTTTTAGCCGGGTGACAGCTTCTGCCAATGCCCTGAGGCCTGCAAAGCTGGTTTCTTGGAAATGATCCGAGACCTAGAATTTGTTTCTCCGTTGTCAAAAAATTAAGAACTATTCATGCCGTTAAACGCTGAGCTACTCGGGTCTGTTTGTGTAGTTTGATTTCAAGACAGCAGCTCCCCATTAAGCTGAAGCCAGATAATTCGTTCTTAAACTCCCGTCACAGTTTGTCGTTGATTATATAACGCGAATGTAGTTTAGTATGTTTTATACCTCGTTCGAATATTTGGTATGAGTGTTCAATAGCTACTTTTTACACTTCTTCTTTCATGTATGATGAGAACTTTTCCACTTACTTGGGAACCCACCAGGATGGAACAAAATGCAGAGGGAAATACCAGCGGTGATGCATCAGTGTCAGCAGGGTCGAGCTCAAGCAGCTTAGATCCAATAACCCGAGTGAGGAAACTCTTGTTTAGGCAGATGCTTGTGGGGATAAAGGATGGGAGGTTCTTTTTGGGGAGTTTCCATTGCATAGACAAGCAAGGGAACATAATACTCCAAGACACGGTGGAGTATCGAAACACGAGAATATCTTCTCCGTCACCAATGGAGCAGCGTTGCCTCGGTATGATCCTCATTCCCTCCTCTTGCAGGACCTCCTGCCATGTCGACTGCTCTATCGAGGAACAACTCTCATTGCTTCAACTGAAAGAGTAGCTAGAGAACTGGATTTTTTTTCCCTTTCAAGTCCTGTGGTGAAGCATTCTCTTGTATCAATTATGTGGATATCATTTCATCAGGTGCTGAGAGGAATGGAAACCTCATTCCTTGTGTTAGTCGTTGGTATTCATTTAATGAATTTATATCGTAATGCAGAACCGGAAACTTACAAAGTGGGTTTTGTTTCGTATCGTATGAAAATATTGTGCAATTCATACAGAGTTGTGCAATTTTGAATAACACATGCCGAATCACACATTTCGAGGCTATTTTCTAGTTCAAATGTCACCATATTTTCTTCCCTCACTAATATCAAAGAGAACACCCAACAAAGCGCCAAAAAGAAAACAGGGAACAATGTGTTTGAAAGAAGAACAAGTGGAGAGCTCAGCTGTACATTAATCAGGCCAAAGGATCTTTGCCATTCCATTTTTCTCTTTTTTTTCAAGATATGAGAAGAGAAATTCTTCTCCATTGTCAGTTCAATATACAGAGAGAGAGAGAGAGAGAGAGAGAGAGAGAGAGATCTAAGCGAGGTAATTGTAAATCTGAGGGTTGGTCTTGTCCCTTTCCAGGTACTCCCTGTCGATGAGGCTCTCTATCCTCTTCTTCAGATCTGCCGGCTTTATTGGGAACTTCAGCTGCACCATTCACCAAAAAACATCCTCTGTTTCAATTAGCTTCAACCCAACCCCAAAACCAAACGAATGCCAAGGCTCTTACCTGTTGGAAGAGCTCTGTGATTAGAAGAGTATGGCTCAACACCTTCCTCGTCTTCATTATCCGCACAATGGCCGCATCGATCTGTATTAGCAAGGACATAACCCTCTTTACCAAATCCTCTCTTGTTCCAAACCCATCGTTTTTTTTTACTGGAAACGAAATGTGCAGAAGAAATTTCACCTGGTATTGCCGGTCCTGGAATACTCTTTCCGTGGTACTCGTGTTCTCCTCTACAGTCTCTTTCATCTGGATGGCATTCACCTGCACCCGGAACATAAAATTTTGACGACTTAGACAAAAGACAAGATTGTATCATATGATTATATAGAGGTAGAGGTGAAGTTTATAATAATATTACATAATATTTAGATTCGATATTATTTCTATATTTTAGATATTTATACTTATTAAATAAGATATTATGTGAATCTATTTCCTACCTAAATATTGTGATGCTATATACTGAATAATGAGAAATCTAACAATTCTCCCCTCAGAGTGGGGAATATCCCTTGATAAAAGGAAATCTGTCCTGGGTAATGTGAATGACTACAGGGTAACATGACATTCAAGAGAATTTCAAGTAGAGGCAGCAAAAACAGGTGTACCTTAATTCGAAACAGAGGGGCTGTAAATCCATCATTGAAAACAAATTCATCACCATCCTCTACGTCTCTTCCTTTTGGAACCTGCAACTCAGAATGACAGGCGAGAAAGAATATTGAGAAACACAAAGACGCCAGCTGAAACCTTTCTTTATTACTAGAAAGGGGGAGTTGCTGCATTTTTGTGACCTCTGCCTACCTTCGACAGGACACGAACTTTCCCACATGCAAGTGATTGCAACGTCCTTCTCAGTTCCTTGTCCTCTATGCTTGTTGAATCTTTAATGTCTTGAAAGCTAAGTTTGTGTGCATCGTTAAACAACATCAAGACAACAGCCTGAGGCAATAACAGAGAGAGCCTTTTACGACATCAAACCATTGCAAGAAAAGATCAATACAACGAAAAGAACACAACAACAAGAGACCCGTTGAGCAAGGAAAAGAGAAAAGATGATTCAACTAACCTGAAACAGTGAAACCGCAAGCTCCTTTTTACCTTTAGGGAAATCTGCCTTTAGTACACAGTGACCTAATGAGTTTTGCCACATTAATCTCCTGCCGCTGTACTTGCTCAAATAGAACTCTTTGAAGATGTCCTGTGAAACAAACAGAGAGAATCAGAGAAAATTTGCCAGAAAAATGCCCAAAACGTGCCAAATGCAAAAAAAAGAAAAAATCAGAACCACAGACAAAACCTGGTAGACAATTAGTTCATGAGGAAGCTTAACATCCATAGGTGGATATGTAGGCCAATACCTGCATTATAGTGAAAGCAAAGGTTAACAAGCTTAATGATATTTCACATCATCAGGTGATCTGTAGTTGCCTTCTGAAAGTACGTAGTCCATACATACCCTGTCGTTAAGACGTGAACACTCATCTCAATTCCTGATGGCAGTTTTGACCTGGCTTGTTGTGATGTTTTGAATGACTCATTTATTTCTTTTGACAGTTCAATATCCTGAGGATTGTTCACGAAAAAAGAGACTGAGGTCACTATGATAACTGAGCACACAAACAAGTCTTCAATAGGATGGTGCAGCATTACTTAAAATTCTTATCTAAGACTAGACCCATACAGACCAGTAAAAACACTGGATCAGAGTAAGTTACAAGGTAATACGGATATGGTATGAACACAGATAAGAAAAACTAGAAAATGGCTAAGAATAGAAGTAGAAATAGGTACCTATAGCTGGTAAAAACAAGAACATAGATTGAGGAATTGTTTAATGGACTCCTCCCACTCATTCTCAGAGAAACATTTACCCAAAAACTAGCTTACCCTCTCTGATCCTAGAAACCCACTTACTTATATTTATATATCACTCTCCAAAATATCATATTACTCAAAATAGCCTTTAATGAACATAACAGAATACGGTTATACTTTAAGCATCGCACTCCAGGAGATGACAATAAATTTAAGAACCATGTTGTTCTTCCATGTCATGGTACTTGTAAAGAATAATAACTTTTTCAGAATGTGAAACACAGAAAGGAAAAAATATGAAACCTTGAACATGCCTTCGAGCTTGTTTGTAAACTGGCTTCCACACTCAGTCTTAAGCTGCAGTTGCAAGAAGAATTCCAGCGTTTAAGAATTTACTACCAAAGAGAACTTTTCCATGAACCAAAAAGCTTAAGACAGTTCTCAACCTTAGAGATCATGGATTTCTCAGCATCAATTGAAGCACTCTTTCCTCTTTGCAAGATCTTTTTTGTAGAATGCTTCAAACACATCTTTACCCTTTTATCAACATAACAGAAAATCTATCAGAAAAATCGAAACGAAGATGGTCAAATAGTTTACCTGCAAAGCAGGCACTGCCATACAGGCAGACAATAAACAGACGGATACAACTGTGCTTGATGTTAAGAAGCAGGTATAACCTGGATAAATCTGAACAAAACCAAGACTTTTTCCAGCGTATTCTCCAATTCTTCTTCGGAAGTACCCTTATTCCCAGCACGAAGCTTCTCATCCAAAAACTTGGCAATAAGCTCAGCAGGCCGATTCTGCAAACGGAGGCAGAAGAATATGTGGTATGAACTCACCAGTTGAGAGAAATTACTAGCATACAAAACTCAAAGATGTAACACTAACACCCGCAGAGTCACAATGGTGAGTCGATCACGAAAAGAAAAATGATGTGAACTAATTCCGATACGTATGCATAAACCATTTATCAAACTTACTGCTTTCTCCAAACCCATAAACAACTTCATTCCTTAAAACTAGAGTTTATGAACAACTAGTAACTACTTGGCAAATTGGACACATTATATGTTAAAATCCCGAAAGTGACTAATACGTGTAGCAAAAATGAAAGAAACCACAGGTTGAAACCATGCTTCCAAACTCGAGCTCCGGCGAGAGGAAATATATTTAAGAAACTACAGCAATACGATGCAAAGTCAGCATCTTAAATCTTCCAATCGACGCGAATTCCTCAAATTCCAGATAGCATTACCGTTAAGTGTTAAGGATGGCATTCCCATAGAAATGCATGTTGCTTTGACATGGAAAAGAACAATTGTTAACAATAGATTCAGATCATAACTAAACAGACAGAGAAGTCTTTGATACCTGGCGTAGGTTAATCAGATGCTCAAATGAGTCTTTAATGGTATTGCCAAATGATTCATTCTTGGAAAAGCTCTCTTCCCATATTGCGTCAAGAGAAGCCTTTAACTCCAACAATGTTGGTACCATATCCTTATCTTTCTCTTCATCCATGACGATCCTCTGCCCAGTTTTTCGAATGTAGGAGCTTAGTGCCTGTCTTAAAGATTCGAGTGTGTTCACCCTAGAGAACAGTATGTACATCCTCTGTAGATCTTCTGTACGACGTCCATCCATCAGTGCTGTAAACCCCTGGGTGATTATGTAAGGATTAAATCAGCATGTTTCACAACTTGCTACTTGTGGAGAAACACATAGAAGACTGTGACAAAGGGTTCACAGCACAACCTTATCAAGAATAGCAGATATGTGACGCTCAAGAAGTTGCCTCTCCGTAGTTGCTATCAGTGTTTTCTTGGTACCTGCATCCAAGTATAGTATGCATCTTTCATTCTCCTCATGCAACCTTCCCTGCAACAATCACCGGTAGATATCTTTCAGAAACCAGAACTATAAAAAAAACTATACTGCCGTCTATCATAGGGAGCAACAAAACATAAAACTATTTGAGGTAGTTTGAGGCACCTCAACATGCTTCAAGTACTCAGGGACGTCAGACTGCTGAGTGTATTTCATTCCTTCGGCAGCATAAAATTCAGAAGTGCATTCAAGGAAAGGTTTCTCAAAGCTTTCCACATATATTCCAAGCGAGGTAAACATCTTTAGAAGTTTGCTTAACAGAGTCCTATCAACAGCTTCACCTAATCTGGAGAACACATGCCAAGAAAGAATCAGGAGATTCAGATGGGAAAATAAATGGAATCATCACTAGCACTATTCCCGAGTCAGCTTGTTGAACTTGATAAGAACCAAAACTATTTTATCACTGTCAGGAAAAAGGTGAACAGTTTGTAGTTGTATAGACCATCTAAACATTCAATGGTTCACAAATAAGACAAATAAATAAGCCAAAGTATGGAAGTCAAATCCAAACTTATGATTTAACTATCCTATATTCTTATAAGACCAAAATGTTACAGAATTACCTTTCATTTTCAATCATTCTTAAAAGACCATTAACAATCCGCTGTTCAACTTCAGAGGCCAGGGAGAGATGTTTCCGGAAAAGCTGCAGACCCATTTCCCACAACGAACGTACATTGGGGTTTTGTATTACATATTTTCTGTCCAGTGACAAAGCTATACTACGGATCATTAGCATCTGGTCTGAAAAGTCTAACCAACAATTCTTGACGACTGACAAGAAACCAGACAGGTCGGTGCTTTTCCCAACTAAAGACAGTAAAGCGGCAGAAATGTGGTCTTCACACTCCTTCTCTATCTGTTGGTAAAGTTTTCCTTCCATCTTATGTAGGCAAAGGTTATCAACAGCCTGATGACATAATTACCATCTCATCAGCATGGTATTTTTCGGACAAGAAAACTCCCAAAAAGAAAAAAAAATGAAACTAGCAATGAGAAGTGACTTTACCTGGTAAAGCCCTTCAAGGTCAAAAGACACTGCTTCCTTCTTGAATATAGCTCTGATAGCTGATTGCAGCTTTGCCCATGTAGTCTCCTCAAAGTTTGTGGGTAGTATTGGTTTAGCTTCAGAGAAACGAAACAAAAGGATCAGTAAATCTAAAAGGGACATCAATAGATAGTTTATCCAATTTCAACTGACCTACTCAATCCAAAGTAACTCCACAAATAATGACGATAACTCTTCGAATGAAAAGCATAAAATTCACAAGCTTTTGTACTAGGTTATGCCAATTTAGCCAAGCTATAGGGAAAAGAAAGTAGCTGGATTGCCCATAATATCATATATAGAAAGCACAAATACCATTGCAATTTCTTTTACATGGTGCACCAATAAACAATAGTTAGTTTCAAAATCCCTCAGCCATTTAAAACTTCCACCAACAAAACCACCGGGTCCTCTGAGAAGACAACAATTTCTCCGGTGGCCGATGAGTCGGTAAGTAACTCTTAGGACCACTTGGTTACAAAACACGAGAGCAACCCTGTGAAATTATTAAGAAATAGAAATCAGCTATCCTCAACTCAGGATCTATGGTTACCATATCCACATGCCAAAGGGATTCAGAGATACCGGCCACTTAGTGGCACCACAAAGCAAAATGGTCGGACTCCCTCCTCAGAAAATTCCGCTCAATTACCAAAGCTAGACCTACACAATTCCCATCAACCACCGGTAATTACCCGAAAAAACTACCAAAGCCCTAAAATCGAGCCTAGCCACGCTAACAAAACAACCACAATCACAAACCCTAAGCATCAAAGAGGGGCCGTTCCAATCAATAAACAGAATCACTCACTGAATGTACCAACCCCCATACAAATCGGAGCGATCGGAAACGACGAATTTAGAAATGTGCAAGAAGCAAAACCTTTGTTGAGCTTGATGACGAGCTTCTTAGCCGGCTGCGGCGGAGTGGACTTCTTGCGGGATAGATTGGCCGCGGCGGAGGCGGCGGGAGCGGGATCTTCGTCCATGGGGAAGACTTCCTTGTCGTGGTGGTGGAGACCGTTCTTGGCCTTCTTCATCGGCGGGGGAGAGGCGGAGGAACCGGCGGCGGCAGCAGCGGAGGCAGAAGCAGTGGAGCAAGTAGAGCGTTTGGTGGGAAGAGACATGAAATGGGCGAGGAAGAAGGAAATCAAGAGGACATGGTACGGTAGTTTCCTCCACAGAGCTCTTCGTTCAGAGCTACGCGAAATTCACGAGAGAGAGAGAGAGAGAGAGAGAGAGAGAGAGAGAGAGAGAGTGTGTTATTTGTAGTTATTTTATAATTAATCTTATTTTCCAACCCTAAATTATGATTTATGTTAACAAAAAACAACGGACTTGTGAAAAGTCCATTAGGCCCATTAAAGACTATCTGGGTTTGTTCTCGAAGCCCAATTACAAATCGGCCGAACACAGTTGCTAGATTCTTTACATTTTCATAGGATGATTCCAGATTTTAAACATATTGATTATATTACGTTAATGCTTTTGAAAATGAAAAGAATACCATGAGAAGATACAACGTCAATAAAAATTTACAGTTAAGGATGTAAAAATATAAAATTACGTAAATTAAATAAGAAAGAAACAAGAGAATGTAATTACTTTTATATATTGCTACATCTTTGTTACATTACCATAAAAATAAATTATATATTTATAAAAAAATTATAGAAATAAGAGAAATAAATACCATACACAATATTTAACATAATATTGTGTTTTTTATTATTAAATATAATATTTCAAAATCTATATTTTCCTTCAATAATATATTTATTTTCCTATTTCAACAAAGTAAATTTAAGTTCTATAAAATATCCTCCAATAAATGAAAAGGAATAAGAAAATGGAAAGAAATAGAAGGCAGATGGAAAAAATGGAAAAGAAAAGAAGATCACACACAAAAAAAACAGTAAAAGAAGAAGAAGAAGATGCAGTTCACACCATAAAAGGAAATAAAGATATTGAGCAAATGGGATGAAGAAATGGTAACAGAAAGAGATGATGGATGTGTGCTTAAACAGAGAGTATTCACGATCGATAGAAAAACCTCGTCTTTACATAGACGTGTCAAATTTTATATTACAATGTAAAATTTTAAACAACATTTTTTTTTGTTAAAGAATAAACAATACATTATAATACATCGTTGTCTATATATATATATATATATATATCTCACGATTTCTCACGAATCTCTCGCAAGTACTCTTTCTCTTTTATAAACTGTGAATCGCATTATCACGAAACTTCTTCCCGGGTTCCACTGAAGTTATCTAAACGTTGTTGTTAATTACTTGAGATAATCTACCGACCAACATCTGATCAAAAGATACCAACCATTTTTTACATAATAAAATCCACCATATATATCAATTCTGATATTTTATATTTATATACCTAAACATACCATTTCCTAAGATCTTCTATGTATTGTTCCTCTCAATACGTACAATAGTATAAAAAAGATTCCAACAGTGATATCGATTTATAATGTAGTTATATATATTAATCTTTTTTTTTTCGACAGCTATACCTTTTAACAGAAAGGAAAAAAAAAAGTATTTTCCTTTAAGGATATGGTTCTTGAACGAATTTCTACATATAGATATGCATATATAAACACGTGATTCCACATACACATATGCCCCTTTTTCATGTCAAGTCACACGAAAAAATACTGCATATCTTTCAAAATCACCCTCGGGTTTGGGCATGCATAAAATAGAAAGTTAGCTAGCACACTGTCGACCACACACGCATATTACGTATCTGTACGAAAACATTCATAAGAATATAGCACGATCGGGAAATTTTAAGGTTTAATACAAAGCCGTGTGTATGTATGTGTTGAAACGGAAGCACGGGTTAGTATTTCGACAACCTAAATTCCTCGTACGTTCACAAGTAATGGAAACCAGTGATGTTGTCGTTATATTGACTATACATGAATTTCTTCGTCTCGAAGACATCTCTCAATGCAACCCGATGGTGGTAAAAAAAAAAAGAAAAAAAGAAAAGAAAATCTACGGCATTAATATATGTATGTACTCTATGTTTTGCGACCAAATAATATATATGGGTTTATATATATATATATATATATTTTCATACAATTAAACATTAATATATATACATATACATATACATATACATATATATATATATATATATATCATACACACATGTACATATAAATATATAAATTATACTCATATAAATTTAAAATTTAAAAATTGAAATTAAAATACATACATATTCACATAAACATACGTACACATTTCTTTGTGTGTTTGGTGCCACACATCATTTAAAAATAATTAACAAAAATTAAAAATAATTAAAAAAAATGAAATTTCAAAATAAATAAAAAAAATTTAAAAATTAAAAATTACAAATTAAATAGTAAAAAGTAAAAAGAAAAATTAAAAATTAAAAATTAAAAAGTAAAAATTAAAAAATAAAAATTAAAAATTTAAAAATTTAAAATTTAAAAATTTAAAATTTAAAAATTTAAAATTTAAAATTAAAAATACATATACATATATTTACATATATACATATATATACATACGTATATATCATACACAAGTACACATATATATATATTTTCATAATATATATTTATATGCGTTAGGGTAAGCGTTTGGGTTCGATTCCTTGGAATGAACCGTATCGAATTGATAAAAATTCCAACTGAATTTTACAGAATCGAACTGAATTTCAAAAACCCGAAAAAACTATTTTTAAAAAAATTAAATGTTTTAAAATAAAAAACACTACAAGAAACATCCAAAATTATGATGGAAAAAAATCCATCGTAAATATAAAGAAAATTCATTGCAATTACAAATTTTTGACAGGAAGACGATGGAACAATTTTCGTCCGTAAAACGTTATTGCAAAAGTTTTTCGGACGTTAATCCATCGCTGAAATTGCAACAGACAAAATCTGTGTTTTGCGACGGAAAAACTATGGAAAACTTCATCGCAAATATTTTTTAAATTTGAAAAAATATAGAAATAATATATTATATATACATATACATATATATATATTTATATACATATGCATTTACATACATATATACACATATAATTTTATATATATACACATTCATATATATTTACACAATAGCACATATATACATAAATACATATATATATATATATTCACATACACAACACATAAACACATGTACACATTTCCACACACATGTCCATATTCACATACATACACAAAACACACATACACATACAAATACACATACACATACATACACAAACACATACACTCTAAACCCGAAATCCATAACCCAAAACCCGAAATCTAAACCTCAAATCCCCAAACCATAAACCCAACCCCAATCCTAACCCCGACCCTGACCACGACTTCGACCTCGACCTCGATCCCGGCTTTAAATCGAACCCTAAACATTTAAATTTAATTCTTAAATCACTTTCTTATCCTCCCATTATTCGAGCACAATCTCTTAATTCTAGAGTTTTAATTGTTAATTATCAAACTGACTCATCCAAATTAAACTCCTAATATCATATAACATTAATATATACATATATAAATGTATATACATATAAATATTTTTATATACATATTTTTATATACATATATACATATACACATACATATATATATATGCACATATATATATGAATATTTATACATATATATGTATATATATACGTATACATATAAATATATAAAATACATGTAGTTAAATATATATATATACATATATATACTTTTCAGAATTGAAATTTCTATTTGTATATATAAAAAATGGTTAGACTCTAGACCCCAAACCCTAAACCTTAAACCCTAAACCCTAAACCCAAAACCCTAAACTCTAAATTTCTGATACAATTAAACATTAATACATATACATATATATATATACAAGCAAATATATATATACATATATTTACACATATACATATACATATATATGCAGATACAAATATACATATACATATATTTACACATATCCATATATGTAGACATATATATACATCCATATATATCATACACACATATACATATAAATATACACGTTATAAATACTCATACATATATATATATATGAATATATGTATATATTCATAACATTTATTTATATGCATTAGGATGAGTGTTTGGGTTCGATTCCTTGGGACCAAACTATATCGAATCGAAAAATATGATATTTTTTTTCAATACGAACCATCTAAAATTCCAACCGAGTTTTTTAAAATCGAACTGAATTTCAAAACCCTGAAAAAACTAAATTTTTTTTAAAAAGAAATGTTTTAAAATAAAAACCACCACAAGAAACACCTAAAATTACGATGAAAAAATCCGTCGTAAATATAAAGAAAATTAATCGTAAATTCAAATTTTTGACGGAATGCTTCGGAATAATTTTCGTCCGTAAAACATTGTCGCAAAAGTTTTTCGGACGTTAATCCATCGCTAAAACTGCGATGGACAAAATATGTGTTTTACGACAGAAAAACTACGAAAAATTTCGTCGTAAATATTTTGTAATTTAAAAAAAAATAAAAAAATAATATATTATACATATACATATACATATATATTCATATACACATGCATTTATATACACATGCATTACATATATATATATATATATATATATATATATATATATATATATTCATATTTATAGATATACACATGCATACATAAAATACACATACACATACATATTCACATAAACATACGTACACATTTCTTTGTGTGTTTGGTGCCACACATCCATGGTAACACCTTCGATGCTCAATCTATGATGGTCTCAAGTCTACCTTAATTCTTGGAGTACTTCGAGGTTTCTGAGCTTCAGATTGATGTGTACCCTTCTGCAATTCATCAGACAGTTGTCTTCCTGAGACAAACTTCCTTTCTACTGGTTTCTCTTCTCCAGTGTAGCCCAACCCAGTATGCTGTGAATCATGTCTCCTTTGACTGAGAATGAAATCCAACTTCTTCGTCCCATGATCAAACATATGCAAATTCTTCTTGGTTTCTTCAAGTTGATATTTTGCATTTGACGTTTCCTCGATTTGTAATTCCAGCTTCTTCTGGGTTTCCTTGATGATGAGGACATCGGATCTAACAACATCTCGTAAAGAAGATCTTGGCGGAAGCATACACGGAGCAAAGGTAACGGCAAACCGAGTTCCACAACCGAGTTCCACCTCGGATCGAAGCCACCAAGTAAAAGGAAGTTGCTTGGAGTGCAAGACAATTATCCAAAGGAAGCTTCTTCATCATCAAGGCAACTCCAACAACTATCTTCCCAACCACCTCATTTAATGCAACATCAAGGAATTCCAACAATTAGTTTCCCAACCACCTCATTTAATGCATTGGACTCCTACCCCTCTTGCATGTTCTTGTCATTTAATGTTATAGTTGAGAATTCTAGCCTATATAAAGGCCTTGTAATGCATCATTTGTAATCAGACTTGTAGAATGTCTCAAACATTTCGAGTTTTATAAACTCTTCTTCGGTTTGTCCGAAATTTATCCCGATCTTCGGTGTGTCCGAGATCACGAGTTTGGTGTGTCCGAACTCAAGCCTTGGTGTGTCCGAGGTCCACTATCTATTCTTCCCCTTCGTTCCATCCATCTTCCTTTTCGGAATTACGTCGAGCATCGCTTGATCAGTGACTGATTCCGAGGACTACTCTTCCCCTTCGAACACCATACCCAATCGAAAGTCGAGAGCCTTCTCCGTGAAGCGCGTGAGACCGCGATTCGG